AATTAAATTAAATTTTACTACACAGAGTGCTATCAAAATAAATTTAAAATATTACAATTTTAAAATATCGATATTTCATATATTTATTACTGCATCTTACTCTACTTTATGTTCTTTTTCTTTCTATATGTTGGTGTGTCTCTGAAAAGAATAAAAAATTGGAGAAAATATTTACCCCAGTTATAGAAAATATTCAACAAAAAAGAAAAAAAATAAAAACTAAGTAAAAAAAAATGTTAATATGTATCTTGTTAATATGCTTGGAAAACTTTTTATTTTGTAATTGTTGGAAGGTAACCTTGAACAAAAAATAAAAACGCGAAGGTATCCTTGAACAAAAAATAAAAACGTGGAAGAGGAAAAACGTTTATTACATATAAATTAATAAATTTCTAATTAAAATATATTTACTTATCCCCTCCAAAAAATTGATGACGTTAGTTCAAAATTTTACCGAATAAATTCTAACTAAAATGTGCAGAATGTGATGAGTTTTCACTTGTGATTTATTATTCAATCCATATTTTTTTATTTTCTTATACAGGATGGCCCAAAAAATTTATAAATGCGTGGATTTATTTTATTGATTTAATCGGGAACGGCAAAACCGAATGTTTTGGAATCTTGGAGACATTTTGAAGTTATTGTAAGCATGGTAACTTTTTAATCAAAATGTATATGTTTATCAACCCCAAAAAATTGTTGACGTTATCGCAAAATTTTGCCATATAGATCCTATCTAAAATGTACAAATATGATCAGTCTATACTTAATCATTGCATTCATATTTTTTAGCTTTAGATGTGCATAAAACAAGTGGCTCAAAAAAATTAATGAGTGTGTCAGTTTATTCTATTGATTAAATCAGGAACGGTTCACTCCATATTCCCAGTAATTTTTGGGAATAGTTTAGTATTGCACTGCACCAATCCAAGTTGATATACGTGTCCTTGCAAAAATCTTGATAACGTCATCACAAAATTGTTTAAGAAAAATCTCAACTCGAAAATACTGGATATGTTTCCTTGTACTTTACGCTAGGTGCCAGGGAAGTTCTGTCAAAACAACTTTCAACCACTTTTTTTAATAAACACTCGGTATATTAAAACTCAAATCAATTTATTCCACAACAAAGTACGAACCTCTGTTTTATTTTTCCACAATTTATGTAACTTTGGTCAGTAAATTTTAATCTTATAATTTATGAGATATCGAGGATCGTACGCGCAGTAACTTACCCTGTATAAACATACCATTTAAGTAATGATGAATATTATATGTATGTGTTCGAAAAAAAAAAGGTCGGTACAGTTAAGATCTCGAATTGTCAACCGTGAAGTGTTTAACTAATTTTAAAAATTAATGTTAGTAATGTCAGATTATCAACAACGACAATTTTTTAAATTGACAAACCGGTTTTCAGAATGATTGAAATACAAGCTGTCTGTACAGGAAATTTCAATAAACCAATTTAAATTTTTACTAGTACAAAGGTTTAATGTTGATATTTCTAAATGTAGTTTTTGCTTCCCAAGCATAATCTTAGGAAGTATTGTAATCGGGGCCGTCGGGCGTTTAGCCACTATCATATTTTCTGTGAGAGAGACCCCTAGAGTACAAAATCATAGGTCTCCTGTTTTTGTCTGTCACTCTGCTTGTCCGCCATCTGTGTCGAATTTGGTTAGACAGATAATAATCTTCGAAACTATCGGACCGATTGTTGACAAATTTATATATGTATTATGAGTATCACAAAGATCGTAAAACGCTAACCGAACTTTGTGTAATCATTAGAGAGCGAATTTTATGAAATTTCCATATCCGTAATTTTTTGCATATAAGTCTTGATATTTAATATGTGAGCAAATCATGCTAATTAAAAATGAATACAGCTATAAACAAAAATTGCATATTTGCATATATTTGCCTTCTGCTGCATATTTCACGTAACGGGTGCATATTTTGCAAAATGATTGTCATTCTATCGGCATTTATCTAGAAAGACGAAATTTCATGAATCATATTGCAAATATTGTCCTGAGCTTCAAATAACTGAGAAAGGTTTGGGTTTTATGGTAGTTTGGAGGAACCACTGGGTGTTAAGCCATGCTTCCAGGTCAAATCGGGTCCTAATTACTTTTGGAAATACCGTTCATTCCCAATATTTTTGTTCGTTACTTAAGTGTATTAATGGTATGTTTTATGGTGGTCGAAGGGACGTTATCCTATTATTTTTCATCGGGCGTTTGCATTTAAGCATTTAAAGCGATAGAGGTGTGTCAACATATAGATAAGTAACTCAAATTAATTTATGGATTAAACCTTTTCCTGAACTTGTTCTTCAAGAAGGAACTATGTTTTGTCGCGCCTGCTCTAATCCGGTAAGCATTCTTACATCTGTGGACGCAGTACGCAGTTTTTCTATTTACAAATACATACTTTAGAATCACCGGAAAAACGTTTTAGAATATTTCTAAAAATATATAAAAATAAATTGTTACCAAAATAGTAATTAAATAGTCGATTACTACCATTTTTTAATTCGTTCTGTTTACCTGTATTTATTTTTTAGTATAAGAATATTATCTTAAAAAATGTGAGTGTTTTTGCAATTTGTAAATAAATTTAGTTCGGTTATTACGTTTTCTTTTTAATTTTTGGAGCATATGCAACTGCATATCTCTGCATGTATTAAGAAAGTTACTGCATATTTGCATACATTTGATGCATATCATATGATCATATTTCCCAAAATTTTGCTGCATATTTTCCGCTCTCTGATGATTAGTCTAATCATCCTTACCGGTAATGTGATGACGTCACTCCAAAATTGTACCTACGAAATAGATTTTAAATAGAATAAAATAACATACGCATACAAGTGTAGTTTGTGAATCCACGAGATATCTAGATTTTTGGAAAAAGAGCAAAATTTTATAACAATGTTTTACAATTTAATTTTGAATCTGCAAAACCGAATGCTTCGAAATCTTGTAGACGTTTTAAAAGTTATCTCGAGCATGGTAAATTATTAAACAAAATATATTTATTTATCTCCTCAAAAATTTGATGACGTTACCTCAAATTTTTGCCGAATAAATTCTATCTAAAATGTGAAGAATATGATGGGTCTGTACTTGTGACTTAACATTACATTCATATTTTTTGGAATTGCTTATACAGATGACTCAAACAAATTATTGTTTATTCATTGGTTAAATCAGGGAAGGCTCATTCCATTTTTCCGAAAATTTGGGAATACAATGCTGTTATTATTAGTGTTAGACTGCACTTATCCAAACTCATATATAAACCGGACAACATAGAGAAGTGGCATAGTTTAAATGAAATGACGGTTGAGGCACTGGGGACTCCTCAATTTATGTTGGTAGCAGTGTTTGTAACTAGGAGTAAAATTAACTAGAATAAATGTCATATTATTTTTAACGACACGTTTTATTTTACAAATTGACACTAGATTTATCAGAATATTACAAGCTGCTTACTGTTTCCTTCACTTTCATTCAGATCACACGAATTACAATTATAGTGAAACAAGGTTTATACTGGTATCGAGTATTTAAATTTGGCGCTTGCTTTTGGAGGTTGGGGACTTCAATGTAAATAAGGGTGGTTTTGCAGCCTCTATGTCGCATCTATATTCATCTACAGTAGCGGTCATTTCTACGGAACCACTCGATAAAAAGTCAAGTTGGTAGCCCTGTCATCTAGTACTTTACGCCGAACGCGGTTGGTAGCGGTAGTTGATATGGCAATCGAAACTAGCACAACACGAATATTTCGGTTGCCCTCAGCTATGCCTCACTGTATCCCGTGCACACTGTATGTTCTGTTCATCTGTTTATTAAAATAAAATATCTACATTGACAATGGGGTCATCTAACCTGTCAAATTTTTGACACATATGTTTTCCCCCAGAAACCCGTCAAGGTCACTTACACCAAACAAATTTTGAAAATTTACACTAGGGAGTGGTTCTATAGAAAAGATCGCGACTTTATGTATAAACCTTCGCAAAAATGTTGATGGCGTCATCACAAAATTATGTGAGGGAAAAACTTATTTGAAACATACGCGTAGCACGCTTCTCTATATTTAGTTTAACATTACATAAATTTATTTTACCTTCTCATAAAAAAAATAATAACATTCGCAAAATAAAATTTTAGAACTTTTCGGAAAGCTGAATATGTCATTCCAAAAAATTGATGCAGTGGTAAATCACAATCAAAGGCGTATCATATTTTGCACATTTTCGATAGGATTTATTTATTTCGATTAAAACTTTACCATGTTTCCAGTAACTTTAAAACGTCTGGAACATTTTAAAACATTCGGTTTTGCAGATTCAAAATTAAATTGCAAAATGTTACAAACGTTAATTTTTTTCCCCCCAAAAATCCATATATCTAGGGTAAAAACTCAACACGGACTCATAAACCACACGTGTGGGACTACGTTATTTTATACAATTTAAAACCCATTTAGTATGTACAATTTTGAGGTGATGTGATCACATTGTTGATGGATATGATTAGACAAAGTTTGGGTAGCATTTTATCACCTACATGATATTTATATAGTTTCAGAGATTATCTGCCTAACAAAAATTGACACAGACAGACGAAAACGGAAAACCTATATTTTGTACTTTAGGGATCATGACTCATTGAGAAAATATAAATGTAGCTAGTTTTCCAATTGATTCGATAACAATATTTTTTATAGAAATGGAGATGAATAGAAAAATTTTGTTAATGTTCGTTTCACCAAATGGTTAAACAACGTGATTAACAATTACATCTGTCTGCCGACGTTATTTCCTGTTGTCACTGTTGTCAAAATTGACAAGGGTGACAGTGACATTTATTTTAAATTAAAAATTACTACTGATTACATATTAATATAATAAGTGTCATATCCAAAGTCCCTTGAGGCAACACCTTCTAGAGACAAGGCCGTTGCACAGACTCATTGACAGCGTGTGACGTCATCACGATGAGTCCATAGTCGCAATCGCTATCGCCACAATTCAATTTAACGTTTTTACTTTTGAACGCTCAAAAATAATTTTGTTTTGTTTTATTGTAGTTTAACACTCTGCTGGTCATTTTAAAACCGATAGGTTAGTACCGATGTGTTCTGTTCATGTTTTCTGTGGTATTATAATGCATAATTATTAGAAACCAGACGTTCAACAGTTTAGGTTATATTATTGAATTTGAATTGTTTGAACTTTTTTGATCATTTTAGCGAAACTTTTCTAATTCTTATATTTTTTCAGAAATGCCAACTAAGTGTTGCGTTCCTAATTGCCGAGGCAATTACAAAAATGGGCCGCAAGTCTCAACATTCACTTTTCCAAAGTCAGAGGATTTAAAAAGAAAGTGGTTGGCCGCAATTAAGAGAATAGATTTTGAACCGTCTCCTAACTCAAGAGTAAGTTTTATCTTAGTGTACGATACAGTTACTGTAGTCCATAATAATTACATATTAAAATACAGATCGTCAGTTAATCGATATTTCCTTCTAGGTGTGTGAATTACATTTCAGCCAAGCAGACATTGAAAGGGAGACAACTTACTTTCATGAGAAGTCTGGACGGCTTCTTACAGCACCTTTAAGTCATCCACGACTGAAGCAGGGTAAGTTTTAAAATAGTTGTTACATACAGGATCAATTTATAGAAGTGAAACTTAAGTTTTAATCCCAAGTAAGCTACAATGATTGTGTGTACCATCAGCATTATGATTAGTAATTTGCAAATCTAATAAATTAGTCATACATTTAATACATAACCCTTCTATAAACTGATCCACAGTCTTCTTGACTATAATATCTGTAATAATACATAAAATTTTTACATCTTCAACATCCAACATCTCTCTACACACACAAATTCTCGGAGCCTGGAAATGGAGGTGCCATCTATTATTTACTCTTGATTTGTAACATATTAATTTCAGAATATTTCTGGGATTTAAATAAAATTACAATCCATATAAATATAAAATATAATTTTGCAGATGCTGTACCCCGTCAATTTCCTGGAATATCTCCTTCCAAACCTGGCCTATCTTCCCCCCGAGAAAGTCCTGATAAAAAAAAGATGCGACTTGAAAGTCAGATGGTTGAGCAAGCAATTGCTGCCAGTTTCGAAAGTGACGCTGACTTTCAAAAGAAGCAGAAATTTGAAAGCATTTTAGAATTGCATACAAAATTACAAGAACTTGACTTAGGAAATTGGGAAGTCATAAGGAAACAACAATCACTTTATATTATTTATTTGGAAGAGTCAGACGTTCCAAGTTTAAAATGTACTATCAAGATTTCAAATGAGCTAAAACTATATATATATTACAAAGACACAGAAATTCATTCATTACCGAAAATCAAACTGAAGTTTCCCGCAGCCATAGATAATTTAAATCAAATAGAAGAAATTCTACATGAAACAAAGCAATTTTTAGTAGACAAAAACAATGACTCTAAATCAGTGGACGAAAGTATCCAATTAATAAATGATATTCTGCTATCTTTGATTAACCGTCTACCAGAAAAGGAACCCACAATCAAATTTTTAATTGAACAGGTTAATTTTTTGTCTGTATGTGTTAAAACTCGATTTAGATACACGTGGGAAACGATTTTATTTTGTGGTTTACTGTATTCTATATCACCACATGCATACAGATTTTTAAGAAGTTGTGGACATTTAAATCTACCATGTGCTAGTACAATACGACGAGTGTGTGGTACCTATTTTACTGACCCCCGAACGGAACAAAATGAAAATTGTTTCTTGAAGTACATCTCCGCGAAATTTAGCACATTAGAAGATACAGACAAATTAATAACTGTAATGTTGGATGAAGTTCATTTAAAACCCTACATGGACTACAAAGGTGGCAATATTGTGGGTCAAGCTTACAACAGTCTAGATGCTGCAACTAGTGCGTTTGTTTTTATGATACAAAGCATAACATCTAATTACAAAGACGTTGCCCACATCTTGCCAGTAAAAACACTTCATGCTCAAGCCCTGCACGAGATTATTAAAAAAATAGTAATTGGCCTCGAAAAAATTGGATTTGAAGTCATAGTTGCAGTGTCTGATAATAACCCCATTAATAAAAAGGCAATGTCATTTTTTACAGAACCTCCTAGTATAACAAATTGTTATCCTCACCCCATGAACAGTGCCAGACCTTTGTTCTTTTTAATTGACCCTGTGCACATTTTAAACTGTATCAGGAACAATTGGTTGAATGTAAAGCCTGACCAAAACATCATGTATCCAAACTTTTTAACTGACTCCAACTCAACCAACGAAATTTTTAAAATTGCCTCATTCAATGCACTGAAACAACTACATGCTTTGGAGTACGAAAAATTATTAAAATATGGGTACACATTGTCTTTAAAGGCACTCTTCCCATCATCATTAGAACGCCAGAATGTAAAGCTTGCACTACAAGTGTTTAATCATTCAGTAGTTGTTGCTTTGAATGAATTAGGCCCAAAGCGACAATTTGACAATTTTGTGGATACTTCAACGTTTATTGGAATTATATGCAAGTGGTGGGATGTTGTAAATGTAAAGACATTGTGGAAAGGGAAGAGACTTCGCAACGAACTGGCAGAACCGATAACTAAAACATCGACACACATTTTAGAATATTTACAACAATTTCTAGAATGGTTGCAGAGATGGAAAAAAATGAACACTTCAGCAAAATTAACACCTGAGACACAGTGGGCGCTAGAAACCACCACTGATGGATTAATTAAATTATCCAATTATTGCCTGACTGACAAAAATTTGACATTCTTCCTTTGCGGAAAAATCCAGACTGATAAACTGGAAGAAAGGTTTGGAAAATATCGGCAAATGGCAGGGGGGCAATACAAAATTTCTATTCGTCAAGTTTTCGAATCTGAAAACAAACTACGGATGCAAAGCATAACGCCACTGATCTTAAAATCAAAAACTTACGGCGAATTTCAAATAACGCCTGAGGATCCACCTGATGAAGTTTTTAGGGATACCAATGAAGATCCGCTTGTATCTGTTACATTGATCACCAATTGCCTTGTGAGCGATGATGATTTAAACGATATTGATGACAATACATGGCCAGTTTTGGTGTATGTTGCAGGATATGCCTCATATGCTATAAACAAAAAGTTAAAGTGTAGTTATTGTAAGGTGTTTTTAGTAACTGATGATCTCCTTTCTGGAAGCAGTGTAATAACTGCCAGTAGCAGAGGGGGCTTGTGTTACCCTACTACAGATGTGGTGACATGCTGTGCGTTTGTATATTTGACTGTCTTGAAGTGCATAGATACAGACTTGGAAAAAATTTTTTTAGACGAAATTGATCAACGCCTTACAATAAAAACTTTAGCAGCAAAATCCATAGGCGAATCAGTCAACAATTTGTTTTTGGGTCATCAATGTTCCAAACATTCCCCAGGCAAAATTGTTGATTTTATATTACGGCCAATTTGCAATATTTTACTCAAAAATTATTGCAAAAAGCATAATGACCAGTTTTTTAAGACCCCAATGGCCGAGCTGAAAAGAAAAACTTAAACAGCCTCCGATTTTTATAGTTAGTTTTATAGTTTATAGTTAAGAAGTTTGGTATGTGGAATGTTGTATTTTTTCTAAAAAGTCTACTTACCGTTTAAACAACACTATCTAAGGCAACAATCCATGTTTAAAAGAAATCTTTAATAACTATCTGTTTCTTAAAAGTGGCATTCTAGGTTATGTCTGTTTTTTTATCAAATTTTTGTGCAAATATACATTTAACGGTACAATGCAGCCTAACGAACGATGTCTGAAATAAATTTTCATTATTAATGGTGATTACTTGTCGCTTTTTTGTAATTTCGAGAATGTTGACATTTTCATGTGGACCCATCATGATGACGTCACAAAACTAGTGCACAGGCCTTATCTATAGGAGGTGTTGCTTGAGGGCTTAAAAATGACATAGCACCGGTCATTTGGATCAAAATTTCCCAGAATTGCCAATCTAAACAGTATTATATTGATCGCGCTGTATTTTAATAATCATTTTTTGAAATTCTTTAAAACTGAACGTCGATAAATGTCGGATTAATATTCTAAAACTGTTTTTAGTTCTCCACTAATGTGAAGTGTAATAATATGTATGTTTGTATATTTTAGGAATCTGTTTCATGCAGTAAGCTCTATAAGTCGTCCAAAGGAAATATCTACGTAGGAAAACGAAAATTAAGTCCCAAATCTTCACTACTGTTTTCAGGAGGTGAGTTGATGTTACATAGAAAGTACAATAACAATTTGTGTTTTTTTTAGATCCCAAAACATTGTCTAGGATGAAAGATCAATTACAATCGTCGTTTATAAAAATTGCTAATAGTATTCAACTGGTATGAAATACAGTTTACAAAGAACAAATGTAAATAATCTGGCTATCGTTTTAGAACAAAATAAAACTTTCGAAGACTAGTAAGTATGAGATTTCTGACACCGATGAGGAGCCGTATGAAGACTCTGGTGATAGTTATCAACCAACCACTTCCTGTTCAAGTAGGGGATCCAGTCACATTTCATCACCAACATTTCAAGTTGATGATATTCGCAGTAATGTTAGACGTCAGCTTTTTCCTACATCAGGTAAAATAGTATATATATATATGTATTATCCAGGTGTCCCAGATAAAATTCTGTGATCTTATATCTTCAAAGCAGATAGAAATATTGAAATTTTGTAAACACCATTGTTTTTGGCTTGAAGGAGGAAACTTAATTTAGCACAATGTAAAAATGACGCATATGTTGCTAGCCAACGTTTTTTTTATTACAGGATGAAACATTAAACTCGGAGTTTTCAATATCTCATTTACTATTACAAATAGAACAAAGTTAACGACCAAAGTTGTACAGTTATGTTATTTTTAACTATACTAAGGGTTCTGTTTTTAAAGCGTAACTCACACGTTCGTTTTTTTTTTAAATAAAACATCCTATATATTTTTACATATTTTGATTCTTAGGCTATACACTCACAAATATACACAGTGTTTAAAAAAATTAAACTTTATAATTTTAACATGTCAATATTTCAGTTCATCAGACGAACAGCCTGTATTTTATGATCGTATCTTATTCAATTTTTGTCCTCATTTTTTTAATATGTTAATGTCTATATCAAAAAAGTAAAAAATCGCAGTAACTATCATCTTCAATTATAAAGAAAAAAAATAAGACGCAGTTATGAAAAAAGGGGTAGGTATTTTATTTGAGAAAACTGAAATATCGATATTTGAGAGTTCTAACAATTAAAACATTTTGATAAACGCTATGAATACGAAATTGAATGCCATTTATACCATAACAAAGCGCGTACCTTTCTTTAGGTGCTACACAAAGTATTGCGACACAGATTTTGAAAAAAACTTTACTCTGATTTTTTTGGGAACCCTACCATTGCTAAAAAAGACATTACAGTTAAAAATAATTTGAGAGTATAGTCCTCAAAGAATCGTACAAATTTGGTCCTGATCTTTTTTCTCAATTGCTAATATTTAATGAAACATCGAGGAACGCGGACTTAGTGACTCACCCTGTATATTTTTAACATATTTTAATAAATCCTTACATTACAATTTTATCTGAGATACTCTGAAATGTAGATAAAGAAACTTCAAAAAAACTTGCTATATTTGTTAATAGGTTTATCCCTTCTAAGAACACCGTCTTCTGAAGAAAGCGAGTCTACCGACGCTGGCATACTTTCCAGAATGACTAGAATCACACCTTCCCCTACATGCTCGATGATGATACCAAACTGCCCCCTAGAAGAAAATACACCTACCCGTAGTAATATGCCTTCACAGTTAGCAATAGTAACATTTAAGGGCCAAAATGTTGAAGTTATTATTAACCATACGTTACATCGAGGACAATATTCCTGCCACCTTAATTGCGTCAAAGAAACGCTTACTGGTTTTCTTTACGAAAATAAAACTAATAGCAACGATCATGTGTGCAGTGAGTATACATAAAATCCATAAAATCCTGTATAGGTAATGATTGCTACAATACATTATATGCTTTACAGGTTATTTTAAATCAGAAGGTGCATACTCTAACGTTGGAACAATAGTCCGAGATAAAGATGAGCGGAAGGCGGAGTTACATGTCAATAAATGTTTCCTCAGTCCTGATACTTTGTTTGGAATGGAATCTTTTTTTCCTCACATGAAAACTAATCTGACTCCTCTTCTGGTTCAACAACATATAAATCAAGAAGTAGTACCAAAATCTTGTAGAATACCAACTGATAAAAAGAGTAAATACCATTTTTGTATGTACTGTGATCAAATGCGAACATCTATAGCAAGACACTTTGTAAAATGTCATGCTGAAGAAGAAGAAGTTAAGACAATTATTTTGCTTGAAAAACAAAGTAAGGCACGCCACGAGGCTTTGACTGCTTTGAGGAGAAAGTCTGACTGTGTACATAACGCAAGATCTGATCCTCATAACAGAATTTCTATTCGTGCTTCAAAGATGGTGCCAGTCGCTAAATTTGTAAATTGCTGTAATTGTGGTGGACTTTTTGCACCAAATAACTATTCTCGGCACAACAGAATTTGTACTGAACGTCCAGCTAATCGCCAAAGAGTATTGCCACTGGCACGATTTAATACTGAGAATCAACAAGAAGATTCTGATGAAACAACACTTAACGTAAACACTCTTGTGAAGAGATTACTTGCGTCCATGGAAAATGACGAAGTTGGGGACGTTGTTAGAACTGATTCCACTTTATTACTTTATGCCAAAAACAAGGCTTTGCAGCACATGAGTGAAGAAAGACAAAATGCAAACACTCGTCAACAACTTCGAAGAGGTGCAAAACTTTTGATACAAGCACGCCTTCTAGATAGTGAAATCAGCGAATTTTCTGATTGCCTGGATCCCACTAAATACGATACGATAATTGAGACTGTCTACTTACTGAGCGGTTTAAAGATAAAAACTTATGAGCTTACCACTCCTACGGTTATTCCACATTTCAGAATTTTACTAGAAAATTGTGGTACATTTTTAAAAAGTGAACTTTTGAAAAAAGGATTAACAATGCAGGATCCACAAGTTCAACGAACTGATGCCTTTCTCGCCGTCCATAACAACGACTTTAAAATGAAAGTTTCAAAAACTGCCAGAATAAATACGGTTAGAAATATAATAGAAAAAAATAAACAATTACCGTTGCCATGTGATGTAGCGGCGTTAACAGATTACATTAAGGCTCAAGCGTCTTACAGTTGCAATAAATTAAAACAATCTGGATTTAACTACGCCCACTGGTGCAAATTAGGAAAGTCTGTTATGCTTCATGTTTTAATTTTTAATAGGCGACGTGTTGGAGAAATAAGTAACATACGTTTAGCAGACTACCAAAAAAAATCTAAGTTAGAGAAAAAACAGTGTGCAGGATTAAATAACTTAGAGCAACTGCTTGCAAATCATTTTACCCGGATGCTAATCATGGCTAAAAGAAGCAGACCTCTTCCTGTTCTGTTGGATGATGAACAAATACAGTAAATTCAACAAAAAATTAAATCACTCTCATCTATTGTGTACTGTGTTTTTTAGATATATCGATTTATTTTTGTCACTCAGAAAGCAAGCAGGAGTAAAAGAAGGGAACCCATACTTATTTGGAGCGCCATTAAAATCTCAGCATCTGAGTTGTTCAGTAGCTCTCAATGAATTTTCTATTAATTGTGGTGCCAAACATCCAATTAGATTACGTTCAACTGCATTGAGGAAACAAATTGCAACAGTGGCACAGATTTTAATTCTCAATGATAATGAGGTTCAGCAACTGTCTGATTTTATGGGCCACAACATTGAAGTGCATCGAAGACATTATAGGCAAAATGAAGAAGTAACACAAATTACGAAATTAGCCAAGTTTTTTATGTTACAAAGTGGCAGAGACTTAAACAAATTTAAAGGAAAAACTTTAGATAAATTAGAAGTTATGTTACCAGCAGTGAGTGAAATAAACGATGTAGGTGATGAGGTTGATGAAGAATTGTTTGATGACCTGAATGGCCAACATATTGATACTGATCTAGCTAAGCATCACCATGAAAATGTGCAACCTGAACCTGAAATACGCCCACATTTAGATGATGATGAGTCTAATGTATCACATGATCCTGAAATTTTATTGGAAACCGGAGAAACTGAAGAAGCTGTATCCGACATGGTTGATATGTTGAAAACATCCATAGAAACACAAGTAACGTCTATAAATACAGAGAAAGCAACAACAAGTGGAAATCGGCAAACAAAAATACGCCGAAAGAAGAATTGCTCTACTCCAGGTAAGATCAACCTACTTACTTATTATTTCAATATTTTAAATTACATTTGTTATACCCTACATTAGATTCAGCAAATATGTATGTACATGATTTTGGTAGATAATTTTTTTAAGTTTGCACTTTCACCCTGGTAACATTGTTTCTCAACTCTACCAAATTTGTTTGTGTTAAGACTTATACTTCTTGTTTTCGTACCACTGTTAAAGCGAAATTATTTTGTCTTTCTTGTGTTTTAGATAAAAGCCCTCAAAGCAGATTTCCAACCACACAAGAAATTTTAGTAACTCTAAATAATAGTCCAAGGAGGAGGAAACGAACTAGTAAAGCACGTTGGACTGTTCAAGAGAAGGAATTCGTTTATCAACATTTTAGAACGTACCTTCAATATAATGATGGTGTTTTTCCAAAAATGGCATTCTGTCAACAATTTGCCCAAACATATCCTAACCAAATAGGACACCGACCTGGGAATATTTTGTATGCATACATAAGAAATGTAAAATTAACTTTGCAGACACCCCCACTGATATAGTATATTTCTAAAATAATAATGTACAATAATTGGCCTAAAACAATAAAGAGTATAACAAAACTAACTATACTTTGATAACCCAAACCTCCCGCCTTAAAATGATATTGAACAAAATTTGAAATTTGGCCTTGGCTGTGATCGTCTGCAAAAGTGAGACCCTACATTGTGTTTTGAAAAATGGCG